TAACCTACCTGAAATCTTATTGCACAACGCCAGTGAATTTGCAACTCTTACTGGCCAATGCCAGCCAAGATGGTGAATAGGGGCGGGGCCCCCGCCACTATATAATGCGCCGTATTGGCGGCATAAGCTCAGAATCTTCCTCTTTCACACATCCTATCGAAGACAGCTGTGGAGAAAACGCAGAAAGACGGATTTCCCTCTCGGCGTTCCAGCATGTCCAACGTTTGCACACTGTGTTTGGGACCCATCGAGGCCCCGGACACTCACGAGTTCTGCATCTGGTGCCTGGTTCTCGCCCATGCGGAGGCAGCACTCATCGGGTCGGGCTGCCCGCACTGCGAGGAATTCTCAGTGCGGGTGCTTAGGGCCCGGAGGAACATCGCCCTCGGGGATTTCTCTCGGCAACATCCCACCGCCGCCAGCGAGCCGCTGGTGGGACGACAGCCGCACGTGGGCGACCGCGCAGAAAGGCGCAGTTCACCCCCCCGCTCTCCGGTGTGCTTGGCAGAAGAGAGTCTTCAACCCGCCTCTGGCGCGTTGGAGATTATCTCGTTCGGTGCGGCGGGGGACGACGACGATCTTGACGAGGCGTCTGAGAAGGACTGGGCCCGCACTCCAGAGGAGCGCTCTGAAGTGGAGGGACACGCTGCGTTCCAGGATGAGCTCGTCCGGATTCTTACCAGGGCCGTGAGCAATCTCGGTCTAGAGTGGGAATCCCCCGACGAACCAGCTAAGAGCAAGCTGGATTCGTGGTTCCTTCACTTGGGCCGCCGAGCGGCCGCTCCGAGGAGGCAAACACCATTCCTCCCCGACTTGCACGACGAGGTTGCTAAGGCGTGGGCTGCGCCCCAATCGGCTCGCACTCATGCTGGCGGGTCGGAGATCTTCACTAAAGTCGAGGAATCCATCACCGTGCACCTCTGCCCCTCCTCTGCTTCCCTGAAGACGGGTGCTACGCTGCCGTCAAGGCCCTGCCGTCTGACCGCACACGTTGCGGACAAAGCTTACGCCGCCTCGGGAGAAGCGATCTCAGCGCTGCACACGATGGCAGTGCTCCAAGTTTTTCAGGCACAGCCCTCTGTACGTAGTAGATCCTCATCTGCTTCCAACCGGCCGTCGAAGCAGCCCCCCTCTGCTTCAGCTTCATCGGCGCCGGACCCAGAGCCGTCTGTTCGCGCCAAAACTCTGTGGCAGAGGACACCGAAGGGGCGTCACGGCTTCAAGAAAGGAGGCTGTCCCGGGGGAGCTCCCCCACCGGAACAGAAGGGAGGGTGCAGAGGAGGAGAGCGCCGAGCCCGCCGCGAAGCGTTTGAGATGTTCTCACGAAGTCCCCTTGGCTGTTGCAGGCAACTACGATAATGTCTGTGTTGTGTATGTTCAAAATGCAATAAAGTCTGTGACACCCTCACAAAAAGAGCTTTTTTCTCCTCCTCCAGTGATAGCAGATTCACACTCGGCCGTGACACCGCCAATAGAGTCAGGCTTGCAGCTTCCCCGTGTATCTGGCGAGGTTCACGCCCCTGTGGCCGGTGTCGGACCCCTCGCTCTCAACACCTAGCACATACGCACGTCCGTGTCGCTCAAACATTCAGCAGAAGGCTCACGCTCCCCGTTGATCGGCGAGGCACGACCCTCGCTAACATACAGCACTCCCATTCGTCCGTGAGCTTTCTGAATACGACCCCGGCATACAGCGGCGTTGTACAGAATTCAGAGGACGAGGCACTCCGCCCTCTGTGTCTTTTTGCGAGCGCATGGCGGTCCATTCCGGGCATTTCGGATTAGTTGCAGAACGTAATAGAGAATGGCTACACGCTTCAGTTTTGGCGCAGACCACCCCGGTTCAATGGCGTGGTCATGTCGACAGTTCCGGCACACAACGTGCCAGTGCTGAGGCAAGAAATTCTCAATCTCCTCACGAAACGCGCGATAGAAGTGGTCCCACCGAGCGAGAGAGAGAGCGGGTTTTACAGCCGGTACTTTGTCGTTTCAAAGAAAGATGGTGGTCTCCGTCCAATCTTAGACTGGAGACCCATCAACCGTGCATTATACAAACGCGCTTTCAAAATGACAACGCTAAAGCTGATACTCGCGCAGATTCGACCCGGAGATTGGTTTGCTTCAGTGGACCTGAAAGACGCATATTTTCATATCCAGATCGCCCCTCGTCACAGGCGCTTTCTGAGATTTGCGTTCGAAGACATAGCGTATCAGTTCACGGTGATGCCATTCGGGCTAGCGCTGGCGCCACGTACATTTACGAAATGTGTGAATGCAGCACTTTCCCCTTTGAGAGCGAGCGGAATACGCATATTGAATTATTTGGACGATTGGCTGGTCTTGGCCCATTCGGAGGATGTGCTCAACAGCCACAAACGCGCTCTGTTACTTCACCTGGAGAGGTTAGGTCTCTGTGTGAACAAACAGAAAAGCGTGTTATGCCCCAGCCAGTCAATCATGTATCTGGGGGTGCAGTTGGACTCAATCTCAATGAGAGCGCATCTCAGCCGGGAGCGCATACTAGATTTAATGTCCGCTCTGAATGCATTCAGGCTGGGCCGTCCCGTAGCACTGAAGGAATATCAGAGGTTCTTGGGGCGGATGGCGGCGGCCGCAACAGTCTGTCACCTCGGTCTACTCTATATGCGCCCCTTTCAGATATGGCTGAAGACACAAGTACAGAGAAGGGCGTGGAAAACGGGCTGTGCCCGCGTTGTGGTCACTCGCAGATGCTTGAACGCGCTGAAACCATGGCGAAACCCCGACTTGTACCAACGCGGTACCCAGATGGGTCTGGTCACGCGGCGGAAAGTGGTCACGACGGACGCGTCGACGACGGGCTGGGGAGCTCACTGCGATGGCGTACCGGCCTCGGGCTACTGGACAGAGTCGGAGAGAACTCTCAGAGTCCGAGAGCTTTTTGGCTCTTCTGAGTTTCCTCACGCAAGTCCGGGGGCATCACGTGTTGATTCGCACGGACAACATGTCGGTGGTATCGTACCATCGTCATGTTCAGACTGTGGTGTCCTGGATGCGGGATTATTTTTAATGTCTTGCAAGAACTGTTCATGCTAGCTCCGCCGAGGCCGAGCCTTTTTACGTCGCTGCTTCCACTGTGTTGTTCTATACAGTCCCCAAGGCGATAACGCCATGTCGAGAGACCGTTCTCGAGAGGGAACGTCTCCGGTTACTGTCGTAACCTCGGTTCCCTGAGAGACGGGAACGAGACATGGCGTAGGCCGCCGTGTTCACTGCTCAGGTCTGCTGTACTGTTGGTTCAGTCGGAAGATTCTGAGCTTATGCCGCTAATACGGCGCATTATATAGTGGCGGGGGCCCTGCCCCTATTCACCGTCTTGGCTGGCATTGGCCAGTGAGAGTTGCAACTTCACTGGCGTTGTGCAATAAGATTTCAGGTAGGTTAGGAAGGAAGGGAGTCCCAAGGCGTTAACGCCATGTCTCGTTCCTGTCTCTCAGGGAACCGAGTTTACAACAGTAACCGGAGACGTTTTGTTTACAGTTTCTGGTTCACTTGCAAAAAGGGCAGTGTGAAAGTGAACCGCACCAAACAAAAAAAATCAACATTGTATTTGGTCCGGACCAAAGCAAGTGAACTAGCGGATTTTCCTGGTGTGAATACACCCTTAGTTTGCTTCATCTCGATACAATGTGAAATAGTATTCAGCAAAAGTATTCACTGCCAAAAGCCTGACCATTAGACTGCTATAATTAGTTAAAGACTGATATGTTGACCAGGCCAGATTATTAGTATTGCCAATAACCATTTGTTACTTTTATTCAGCAAGGGAACATTAAAGGGATCAAAAGTGTAAAGTGCAAATAAATTATGTTATTTTAGCTTTCTATCAAAGGATGCTGAAAAAAATTGTATCACCAAAATATTGTGCAGCACAACTGTATTAGAAGAAGAAGAAGAAGAACAAGAAGAAATGTTTCTTGAGCACCAAATCAGAATATTAGAATGATTTCTGCAGGATTGTGTGACACTGAAGAGTATGAGTAATGGCTACTGAAAATTCAGTTTTGAAATGACAAGAATAAATTACATTTTAAAAGTTATAAAAATAGAAAACAGTTATTTTAAATTGTAAGAATATTTCACAATATTATTTTTAATTTTTTGCTAAAATACATGCAGCCTTGGTCAGCATAAGAGACTCCAAACTTCTGAACGACAGTGAATTTATATATATATATACACACAGTATCTCACAGAAGTGAGAACACCCCTCACATTTTTGTAAATATTTTATTATATCTTTTCATGTGACAACACTGAAGAAATTACACTTTGCTACAATGTAAAGTAGTGAGTGTACAGCTTGTATAACAGTGTAAATTTGCTGTCCCCTCAAAATAACTCAACACACAGCCATTAATGTCTAAACCGCTGGCCACAAAAGAGTACACCCCTAAGTGAAAATGTCCAAATTGGGCCCAATTAGCCATTTTCTCTCCCCGGTGTCATGTGACTCATTAGTGTTACAAGGTCTCAGGTGTGAATGGGGAGCAGGTGTGTTAAATTTAGTGTTATCGCTCTCACTCTCTCATACTGCTCACTGGAAGTTCAACATGGCACCTCATGGCAAAGAACTCTCTGAGGATCTGAAAAAAAGAATTGTTGCTCTACATAAAGATGGCGTAGGCTATAAGAAGACCCTGAAACTGAGCTGCAGCACGGTGGCCAAGACCATACAGCGGTTTAACAGGACAGGTTCCACTCAGAACAGGCCTCGCCATGGTCGACCAAAGAAGTTGAGTGCACGTGCTCAGCGTCATATCCAGAGGTTGTGTTTGGGAAATAGACGCATGAGTGCTGCCAGCATTGCTGCAGAGGTTGAAGGGGTGGGGGGTCAGCCTGTCAGATATATATATATATATAATTAAATACTGAATACACTGAAATTATATATACACCACCCCATTCTCATTATCGGCATTGGCCATTAAAATATACATGTTGGCCTGCCCTCTATTTACACTGACAATCAGGAATGAATTCCTTGGTTAAAAACAAATCCTGAAAACATTTAATAGTTGTTTCTCAGCCAGTTTTCCAGTTATTATTACCTCATGTAACGTGCTACTTGTGCAGATATCATCATCAGCTCCATCTTTCCTTAAGTCCATTTCTGCAGGGAAATAACATTTTAAAAAGTTAAATTGAACAGTCAAGAATAAATGTATATATTTTGAGGTGTATAAACAAAGAACAAAGATAGCAACAATTAACATTACTTTGAGCACAGACAAACAGAGCATTTACATTTGTAATTTCAATGCAATGGATCAACTTTCTTGAGCATTTAGGGTGGAAGCAAAGGAAGAAAGTTCAGACCAACAGACATTTGCCACCAGAAGCGACTGAGATCGTAAAGCATTATTCTGTAGCTGCTCTAGAACCTCTTAAACTGGTCTTAAGCATTTCAATCACACCTCTCTGACTGGTGATCTTCTCCAGTTGCACCACACATGGCTTCACTGTGTTTGAGTGTTGAACCATCTCTGGAAAACAGCACATTGTTTACATCAATCTAACCAGCCTCTGCTGGATCTGACTGGATAGAACTTTAACTGCACTATACAGCGATACAAAAAAAATTATATAGATTACAATTTGATAATTTTATTGTTCTTACTACGCAAATTATAACACTGACTGGATAATGATAACACTAAATTAATCCATGACAATTCATTGGGAAAGCAAATCGTAATATGAGGAGAACCCTTTAGTACCTGTGTTAATAACATGCAAGCCAGATGATGTTTCTATATCTTCATACTTTAATCCAGATATTAGTCTTGCAGAGCTAGACATCTGGCTGTCTGCATATGGCCAGCTTCACTTTACAGCTTTTCTGGCTAAGAACTGCCCATTTGGCCGCTTTGTGTAAGCATAGTTACAAATCATCAATACACCCAGAAATGTTGAAAATACTGGAGCCGCTTATGGTCTTGGCAGTGACCAATGAGCTGCTTCCCACAATGAACAAAAGAGAAAGCAATTGTCAGCCTGCTCTGACATGATCCGATCTCATCTAGACTTTTTCCTCAGCAATGCAACTTTGAATATCTTTCAAACTGAATACCATGATCCTCGCAAAGCCCAATGATTAGTCAAAGTTTTTAGTTCTTCCTCACCAGTGCCCATCATAGTAGCCCTTACATTGAAAGCACAATGTGGCATTCAGATGGACTAATAAAACACCTGTGCACCCTAAATTCCAGAAGTTACATATTTATTAGAGGGTCTGTGAGTGTTTTTCTGGTGTGTAGGCTGATTTTTTTCTTCAGGTTTCTCAACTATTGTTGGACACTGAGTTTTGGTGTTGTTTTGTAATTGTTTTTTTAGGTTTT